AGTTCTCTATATTACACTATAGATTTCAATATAGCTTTCTATAGAGCATCGATACTTCTATATATTATATTTGCCTCTTTTTTCTCTATAGCTTTCATCTTATTTATAACTATAAATATTTCAATGAAAGAAGCATCTCCTCATCATTAAACTCAAAGTTGATAATGGTTGCGCCATTTGTCGGAATAAATATCAAATAATCGATCAGCAATTATCAATTGCACGATAAGGAAGTACCTTATTTTTGGTATAATTACAAACTGATATCATTACAATTTTTGTTTTATTTTCCATCTCTAAATGTTTTTATTAAACTCTATATCCTTCTCACTCTCCATGTATTATCTCTATTCCTATACATATAATTTATATCTCTCTGCATATCCTCTCTATGTCTTGTTTCATGTCAACTTTATAATCCTCGAAATAAATATAGAACAATTTTTTTAAACACAATATATAATATGAATTGTATTTTTGTGGGCGTTATTACTATGCGAAAATGGCACCTGTTTAAAAAAAATCAAGAAAGCGAGAAGACAATATCTCATTCTTCCATGCCTAAGTCGCACAGAATCAAATCGATGAATGGGCTAAAACACCATAGTTAGAAAAGATATTACTAACTATGGCCTCATCAGAGCACCTTGCTCACAGTTCATAACCCCTCCTGTAGGATGTTACCAAATCAAAGCTGCCACTATACCAATGAAGAGTAAACCATTATATACAAAATGGATTTGTCAACAGCTGTTTTGAGTCAAATATATTGATCTGAATCTATGCGATACGATAGAAAATCAAGTATAAATGTATTGGTTCAAGACATTTCATACAGTAGAAGTTCCATTTTAGCAAATGCATATTTACATACTTTCTCTAGATGATAATACTATATATAACAGCATTCAATAGAATTAATTCATCTGAAGTTCACATATCAATTCATAATATTTCATAATCGTATCAGGAGCTATTTCAAAGAGTAAAAGATAATGCCGTAAATTTTGTCATCACCAAACGGAATTACAACTTTCAGGTGCATGGCTCTTTTTCAAACATGTTCCTTTTATTTAGCTAAAAATAAATATTCCTGAAAACTTCTATAATTCTTTTGAATAAATGAACTAAAAAGTCTGGTGCCTTATCTTTGACTTTTTTTGTTAATGCCAATATCAGAAATTCACTCGATCATGATGGCTTTAAGGTTTCGCACTATGCACTGAGTGCAATTCTCAACCTGCAACCCCAAACCACATCATTGACTGTATTGGCTCATACATTTATAGCTCTACTCATCCTCAATAGACACCAAAAAAATCTCAAGCTCTACAGTATTGATACCCTAATATGATGGAGTGGAGATAATATATAAATAAAAGGAAAACTTTATCATGAACAATACTGTTTGTAAATGGTTCAGTCATTTCAAATATTTTGAAGCTATTCTGCCAAAGTGGTTTTTTTTAGAGAACTTGAGACTTTTCCCGCCTTTTCTGTCAGCTAGTTGGATAATGGCCTCTTGTCACGCTTCATTGCTTCTCGAAAGACGTTTTTGTAAACTGGTAAAATAGTCTGCTAATTGTAAGCGGATTGGTTCTTTCACATTGTTATAATTTCTAGAAATTCCTATATTAACAAACCAACGCCATTTAAAATACATATATCTATAGGTAAAACTTGATGTAACATATAATTCAAAACCTTGCTCTGATATATCAAACGCTGTATATAAATTCTGTATATCTTTCACTACTTTACTTTTAAAAAATAATCTCTTTCTCTCTTTAGAAATTTTATATTTATATTCATTCTGTATTTAACCTTATATAATCTTATATGTACTTTGAAATAAAGTAGTTTAAATCTCTATTTTTAGAAATAACAATGTCATATGTAATCTTATAAAATACCTTTTATCTTGTGTGTGTGATTTTTAGTAAGACTGACCTTTGCAGAATACACTGAAATATATGAAATTTATTGCACATATGTATTATATATCTGCAATTTTAATTTATATATAAAAAAATAAGTATATAATATCAATTGTGTGGAAGTAAGAAAAATACAAAGATCAGGTGTGGATATTAAAAATAAAAAAGCATATCATAACCGCTTACAAGAGAGTTTTATATTGATAAGCGCCATCCAGTGGAAAAATATCATCTAAACGTTGAATGAGGTTCGTTCCATAATATTTAACCAACCGATTTCCTCGATAAATCAATAATAGCATTGCTATTTTTGAAGCATCAGAATTTTAACACAATTTTTTTTACTATATTATCTTATATATCTCTATGAAAATTAGACATTTCAGCCAGTTAGAGCTTTTTTTATTTTCTCAACGTTTCGACAAAAATCTTTTGTCTTCATCAGGAGAAGTAAATAAAAATAAAGGACTTGGAAAGACGTTAAAAATTGCTCTGAGGTTGCAAGGGCGTTCTCACGTGATTTTTCGAATTTAGTACAACATCTAAAGCGCCAGTCAAAGAAGTTGAGAAAATAAAAAACTCTATCTGGCCGAAGTGTCTGTTATTTACACTATAATCCTATAAACACGAAATGTTTATAATAGTTAACGCCACAAAACCGTCGATATTGTTCCATCAATATATTTTATGAAACACAACATCATATTCCCCATAAGCCATTGTTATCCAAGATCAGAATTCAAATATTATTCCCTTCTGAATCCATAGAGTTTAAGAAAGATGTATGTGTGGTTTTAAAAACAATAAAATGCTAGATCCTCCCCCCACAAAAAAATTTGAATGATGCAATGTGCTCATATGTTATTTTATTAATATATATATCTTTAAAAATAACACAAACACACACTCTCTCTATTTGAGTCTTTTTCATATCTAAAAAACACACACACAACCCAAAAAATCATAATAGAATAGAACGCTTCACGATTTTGCGTGTCATCCTTGCGCAGGGGTCATGCTAATATTCTCTGTATCGTTTTTATTTTATTATATGTACCGCCGAACAAGCGTGCACTTAATAGAATGTCATAATAGAAATGACATAATGAAAAAGTGATAAAAATGTCATAATAGAATAGAGAGATAGATATTTATATTAAAACTGCTTTATTAATTACATCGTTTCTTATTGGTTTATATAGGGTTATAAATACAAAAATAAATAACTATAGATATCATTACTATATAAATAATCGCAATAATAAAATTGAGAGAAATATTCATCGAAGAAAAGGTAGTAAAACACTGAGATATGATTAGTTCATCAAATAGCTGGAAAGAGCTGTCCAAATTATGTCTCTCTCCTAATTGAAGTCATAGTTATATAAAGAACACTTTAAATTGAATCGATTCGGTATAAGAATACTTAGAATTAACAAGTTCCATCCATAGTAATCCATGGTAAGAAGGTCCTGGATGGAATTAAGAGCCATTCCATGTTCCATCGATCCAAGTGGCCCATGGGAGATCTCAAGTCTGGAGCAGCTTTAATTAAGTCCGATTTAAATTCTATTAGATCCTTCTTGAGATTTGGTACCTTGATCTCTTCTTCACCTGTCACATCCACCAAATTTAGATGGTTCTCTCAGATAGCTTTATTATTATCATTGCCGTGGCTTTCACACAAGGATTGTGTCTTTTTATTAATTTATTTAACCATCTTTTTTGCGATTACCGAATAAAGAAGTTATAAATGCTAGAAATTTATTTTCTTTTATTATTTTATAGAAAGATAATTACGCTAAATTTTGTGCACATATAAACCTAAATAGAGTATAGTATCTGTCATAAAAGACCATTTAAAAAATGAATACTTTTCGTCTATCCAGAAATATCTTTTTTTCATCGGAAATTATAAGTTATTTTAAAAATATTTTATAAAATGATCTATGTTAGTTCAAGTCATTTTTATATCACAAAGGTGGTAGCTCTGGTAGTCTTGCTTATAGGAATTTTTCTGTGAAATCTTGCAGCAGATGTTCTCCCTGTTTAACCTCCCATAAGAGATCCATCTGATAAAGAGCACCTACCAGAGCGTCCACCTTTATAACTTGAGAAATGATTTGAACTTAACTAACTCAACCTCCAATAAGAGACTTCCTCCAGGAAAGACCAGGAATATCCATGAGACAAATATATAACTCTTTTTTAGGTTGACACGAAATTGTAGCAGCTCTTGTACTGATGAGAGCCATAGCCAACAACCATGGCACACTGGTTAGCTTATTCTCCGAATTTATCAAAACTAGTTATGCGTTTTTATTAAATGATCTTATTTCGCGCTATTTGCGCAGATAATATCAAATGTTTTGTTGCAATTACTACACGCAGCGTGTTGTCAATGCCTTTTTTATATTTCTAATACAAATATCGCAATATTGCATAGTTTCTTATATCAATCCATTTGAAAAATGATCACCTAGAATAAAGGTTGTTTCTTTTTGTAAATATAGTTTACTAACTCAAGGGCTTTGGAGCTCTTCTAGTTATAGGTGGTCAGCACTACTTCTGCAGAGGAGGGCTCTAAGAGGCCCGAAATCTTGAGTAAACTAGAGATACATACAATAAACTCATCCCTGGATACATATTTTAACTATTTTACCATTATTATAAATCGTAGGTAACACCATTTTTAAATTGATAAGGTAAATCTTCTCAAAATGTATTAAAATATATAATGGAACACATGGCATCATAAATAATTACATTCTCTTATACAAAGAACCGATTCAGAGCGACTAACAACAATGAATACACTGTGAAAAAACGTTCTAAAATAATTGTATAAAATTGATATTTACAATTTCTATGAGAGAAACTATATTGGTTTTTCGAAGATCTGAACTCTTCGTGTGTATGTTCTCAGTATTTCCATAATATCGGAGCTGATTACTTGTTTCTAATTATAAGACACGCTTCAAGCTATATAACAAAATGAAATAGTAAAATAAGGATATGAAAAGTAGTAACTTAATTATTAAAAATATGATATGTGGACTAGGTACGTCGGTAGTTTAATGGTAAAATACGTGCCTGCTACGTTGGCGACCCTGGTTGGATTCCCAGCCGATGCTTTATTTTTTATTCCAACCCCCTTAGTAAGTGCAAATAACCAAACTGAGCTTTCTGGTACAATAGTAAGTACAAAAGTTGAACATCTTCCTTTTTATTTCATTCAAATTTTATCATTTTTTATCATATTTCATTAGCATTGATTCATATTTTTGAACATGTGTAGGCATGTGGTGCACTTATAGTAAAATTCCGTCGCTAACTACTGACGACCATGATTATCATGGCCTGTAACTCACATGTACTCGGAATAATAATAATAATAAAGCTACACATGGAATAAATGAATTAAATCTCTAAATAATCCATACAATCCCTTCTCACTCAGATCGAAGAATATTTAAGTTAAATAAGAAATCTGTCCTCACGGGGGGATGTATTGTCACAGGAGCAAATCTCTTCCTTGGATTGATTAAAAAATATCATTAATTCAATTGGACACCTTTAATTAAATCAAGCTAATTAGATAGCTGCACATATCTCAAATATTATTAAATTTTTAACGAGGAATCTTATTTAGATCTTCAATGTTGTTGATTAAATTGGATTCTCCCCACGTCATCCATTAAAATTCAAGACGTGCTACTTAATAAATATAAATGAAGTAAGAATGGATTATTCTTATTATAAAATTGTATAGGAAGGAATTTTTTTGAATTTTAGAGAAATGGAAAAACTTTATTAATCTGTAAAATAATACAGTTAAACCTGTCTATAGCGCCCCCCTCTAAATAGCGCCTTCCTCTCTTTAGCGCCCGATTTTAAATACGTAGTACGATGCGATTTACATTAAAGTGACCTGTCTATAGCCATCCCTCTCTATAGCACCCTATTTTGGTGAGTCCCAAGAGGGGCGCTATAGACAGGTTCAACTGTATATATTTTTATTAACATTTTTCAAGCCTCAGAAAGGTTTTTTTATTGTTTTTTTTTTGTTAAAATGATTTAGATTTCCTATCTCAATTATATTAGAATTCAAAGCTATGATTTTTTAATATGGAAAGTACGTATTTATACAAATTTATTTATTTTTTATTAGGTGAACATGATATAAAAAGTTCAAAAATATATTTCTGATTATAAAATATTTAAACTAATTTTGGACGAGTATATTTATTTTTAAAAATGAATAATGTTCTACTGCCCTTACTCTGCAATGATACGTTAATGAAAGGGTTTTGCTCATCACTAGTGAACCCTGGGCCCTCCCATTAATATATCATATCAGTAAAGAAATAAGAATATGTTTTGTTTGAACAAGAAACAAAGGAATAACATTTAACAGAATAATAGATATTCCGTAAATTTATAACATAATATTCCCTGAACCGACCCCATAACCCCCAAGTGAAGATATCGCCTTGGAATAGCAAACTCGAAAGCACGCGCAACAAAAGCCCGCGTTGATTCTCCATTGAAACAAATGTAAACAACCAAAGCACTTTATTTAGTTTTAAATCTTATTTTATTGGCGTTTTAATGATGTAAGATATTTTCTCCCGTAGAAGGGCTTTCTTGCCCGAAAGCTTGAGATATTTTTAAATAAAAAATATTTTAAAAATAAACTTTCCCTGGAAGCATAATGTTTTTATATATTGCACACAAAAGTGTCAAAATTAGTTTAAATATCTTATATCAGATGCCACGCTAATCTATTATTTTTTATTATCCCATTGTATAATTATACAAGGTTATGTAGACTATATTCATTGATAAAATTCACAATCTTGGTAGGGTTGGAGTACAGATCCTGTCTTGAGGCTTCCATACATTCCAAAAGGTGGTCTGGTGAGGCCTCCATAAGTCACCATGATGGGTAAAAGAGGTGTTGTCGTTGGTTGGCTACCCACCATATGGAGGTGAGACATGAATCATGTTTATATTTCTGAATTGTATGCTGGAATAAACGTATTTTACACTTATGAAATACTTTGTATTTGAAATATATTTTTGAAACTGCCGTAAATAAATCTGTTTATCGATATTCTCATCCTAAACAACATATCCACTCATGGACAAAATTTAAGGAAGTTGACCTTTGTATATCGAGATTCAGACAATAACTCTGAAAGATATTACAGTGACCTTTATTTAAGATATACGAGATAACTAAGTGTGAACAAAATTGTGTCTGTATTCTTCATAGAAACAGACAAGCGGCGACATCAGACTTTCCACTTCCTTAAGTTTTGTCCATGAGTGTATATCAATTATTGTCGGAATCATTCAAAATTATTGAACTAGTATAGTGTTTGCGGATTAACTCTCTCTCTCTCTTTAAATCATTATATAATCATATTCATTCATATTTATATTGATTCTGTATTTAACACACACACACACCTTATATAAACTTATATGGACATTGTAATAAATCAGTTTCAATCTCTCTCTCTCTCTGCCCGGCTGTTCGGCGTCGGCCTCCATCCCGAGGCAATAAGCTAACCAGTGGGGCGAAGGCTACCATCTACAAGTACCACTTTGGTCTTGAGTTGGGTAACGCCAGCCATCACCTAGACCTGCCCACTCTGTGGGAGAAAACTGGTGGCGGAGTCTTTCCCGACGTGGGCGCCAACAATGAAGACCTTGTATATATTTATATATATATATGTATATTTATCAATTATTTTTATCTATTTATATCTATTTATTCATAAATTATCAATTTATAATCATATTTATATTTATCCTGTATTTAACCTTATATAATCTTATATGTACATTGTAATAAATCAGTTTCAATATCTCTCTCTCTCTCTGTGTGGGTGTGTGTTCTACAACAATGGGTTAATATAACTAATGTGTGCTGTTAGCATTTCTAATAACGATAATTTCATTTCGGTACCTTTTCTATGCACTACACATAACAACAGCAGAATTAACAAAAGATTTAAATTCAAGGTTTGAATAGAATTCCTTAACACACCTCTATAATTGGATTTCTTTTACTAATTATATCCTCGCTTTTATTGTTAACTTCTCAAATACAAATTTTACATATTTTTTATAAGACTTCATTATCTTACATATCTTTATAACACATATATACAATAGAAGTTTAAATTGGAGTTTTCCCGTTAACATTTCTGGTGTTTCTCCTCGAGAAGGTTACACATACTAGTGGTGGGAATTGATTGGGTTTTATATATTTCGGATTTTACAAAGGTATTTATATCCTAAGATTATCAGACTGGGATTATCATTAGATGATTATATATATATATACAGTAGAACCTCCATGAGAGACACTCTCGCTAGAGGATACCTCTCTATAAAGGACAGTTTTCATTTGCAAAATTACCATTTTTTACTATTTAGCAACTCTCCAGTAAGAGGACACCTCTCCCTAAAGGACACTTCGGCTCTACAATTAAGAGTCCTTTACAAGGGGAGGTTCTACTGTATATATATATAGATGAAAAATTTGCCTGGAGGAAATTAATTCATAGAAGCAATGGGCGCTTCTCCCGTCAAAATAAACGTCAGAATCTGACGCCATCTATTGACCGTCGCCGCAACTAGCGGCCTCGGGTCGGTGACAAAGCCACAACACCAACTTTGGCAAACTGATAAACGTCTACCTAGAGACCATTGTTTCGGGCTAATAGCCCTCCTCAGTCTAGGGAGGAATTTATTCCATGAGATCCACACGGGATCTAATGGAATCCTCACAATCTACCAAAGAGGTGTTTTTTCTGGCAATATGGCTGGGCCAAATCTATTAGCAAAACATAGATGAAAAATTTGCCAGGAGGAAATTAATCCATAGAAGCAATGGGCGCTTCTCCCGTGAAAATAAACGTCAGAATCTGACGCCATCTATTGACCGTCGCTGCAACTAGCGGCCTCGGGTAGGTGACAAAGCCACAACACCAACTTTGGCAAATTGATAAGCGTCCACCTAGATGGCGTCAGATTCTGACGTTTATTTTGACGGGAGAAGCGCCCATTGCTTATATATATATACAGAAGAGTCTCCCATGAGAGAACATAACCTATAAACACGTCTAAACTCCGTATATCCTGGAGGCGGTCTTTTATAAGAGACAGTTTCGGTTAAAAGACTTCATGAACGCAAACTAACAGCCTCGAGTCGATTTCAAAACCACAACACCATTTTGACCTCTATTTTGACGGGATATGTGACCTTTATTTTCTATATATTTAAGTATGTGTGCTAATAATGTGGTAAAAATAGAGAGGAATTAAGTTATTGGAATGAATAAATAAATAGAATATATAAACTGGTCAATCAAACGATCATTAAAGTTGAAATAGAGTGGCCCATATATATCCTTATAAATATCAAATAAATATTGCTTTAATTTTATTTTAGACAATTGGCCATATGCCATTTCTTGTTTCAACGAGTAAAGTCAACTATATACAAACACTTCGTGCTTTTGGCCATCGTCAGAGTAGTGCAGGTTGTAGGTTCATAACTCACCTAGATGGATATAAACGCTTGTTTTATTTAACAATGAAAATTTTATTTAAAGCTAAATTCCATGCCTATTTTTCAATATTGTTTTGAAATTAGAGCAATCCATAAATGAATCTTCAAATAAAAAGGCATATATTTGATCAAAATATAATTTATTTTACCAAGGACGTTATGTGGCACTGAGTTTGTTGTTGACACACATTAATATGTTATAATACTTCGAAAAAGGTTGGCGTTCAGCCAACTAAAATATTGGTAAAATAAATGATATTTTGATATAATATATGCCTTTTTAATTAAATATTTTAATATGTGAAAAATAGTGAAAACAGAGGAAAAAGGTAAAATTATTGAAAATATTATTTTCGATGGATCTCTGGCATTCTTATTTGTCATTTGAGAATTCGGTGTATAGAGACCTATATATGATCATATGTATTAAAACAAACAAACAACATTATTAACTTCAAATATTCCTACTAGAAAAAAGTATATGGTAGGTTTTTAAACTATATAAAATATCTCCTATAACGAGGAGGACCAAACAAAACCAAATAT